CGTTAATCGTTGACGACGTTTCTTGTGACGACGACTTTTCTGTCCAGAATTGTAGTTGACGATTTTGAGATATTTCAGCTCCTCATCTTCATGGACTCCGTCCTTAGTCTCTAACACTACCTGCTGACCGACTTGGGGGAGCAGCCTCGTTCTCCTCCAATTCTGTACGTTGACAACAAGGCAATGCTTGCCTTGTGTCATGAGCAGAGATTGGAGCATAGAACGAAGCACATTGCTCTTCGCTACTTCCTTGCGTGCAAGCTGCAGTAGCGTCGTCAGCTCCGCCTTTCCTACGTGGCCTCGCGGGCCAACACTGGTGATGTCTTCACCAAGGCCCTTGGGTCTGGTGATCATCAGCGTTTCTGCACTGCTCTTGGGCTTGTGCCCACTCTGCCTCACTTGCTTGTCTCTTGATCTTGCTCTTGTTGTACACTGATATATATGAGTATACCTGCATGCTTACACTTGCTAGGTTGTGATCAGTGTACTGCCCTTGCTATTATAAACTCTTCATGTGACCTGGCCTTGTGGCCACTTGCTTGTGCTTGGAATGCGTGGTGATCTTGAGATCCAACCTGAGCATTGCTTCGCTTTGCTTCTTCTCTTGACTGGTCTTGTGACCATTGCTTGCTCTAGCTATCCCCCATTCCGCCTATGGGGGTGTGTCAAAACATATGTTTGTATGTTTTCTTAGGCTGTAGTGGGTTTAGCCTTAGGGGGTACACAAATCTTCTCGACATTCTTCTTGTACCCCTCCTTTGACCTAATGCCCACACTTCTTCCTACTTAGTTACCAGCACCTAGTTCCTAATTCTAACAAATCTCTCTCTCTCTTTCATCCCTCCTTAACCTCTCTCATCCCCCCTTAACCTCTCTCCTCCCCCCCCCCCACCCCTACAGCAACTAGTGATGCTGGAAGAGAGGAAGAGGGAAGGGAGGGACGGGTTGCTGGCGGTTCACACCCGCCACCCCCATATCTCCCCCTCCCCCCTCCCCACGACGGAAGCCGCGGAAGGGAGGGCCGGGGGGGGGGGGGGGGGGAGGGGGGGGGGGGGGGCGTTAGCTGCTGCCGGCGCTGGCGCTGGTGTTGGCGTAGGCGTAGGCGTAGGCGCCGACGCTGGCGCTGACGCTGGGCGCAGGTGTTGGTGCTGGCGCTTGCGCTCCGCGCTGGCGCTGGCGGTCCGCGCTGGCGCTTACGACGGGCAGGGCGACGGGCGTGACGGGTGCGACGAGCGATGGACGCGACGGGCATGGCGGGCAGCGCGCAGGGCGACGACGGAACGGGACGGGCAGGCGCTTAGGGCGCGACCGGGCAGAGCGCGATGGGCATGACGGGACGGGACGGGTAGGCACCTCGGGCGCGACTGGTGACGAAAAAAAAATAGCGCATTTCGTGCTGCAGTGTGGACGGGCCCATGTTCCATGAAAGAAAGTAGGTCCTAAGACCGTAGTAGCTCTAAAACCATGTTAAGATAGTAACTTAGTAGCCTAGGGTTTGGGGTAAGAGAGAGTTGGCCAAAGAGGAGAATTGCAATAACAAGGAAGATACAAGATATAGTAAATGGGAGGTCAACACGCTTTGCAACTAGTTGCACAATTGTACCAAGTCTGTTTCAGGACCAGCACTGATCTCCCAACTTTCTTGATCCTAGACAGAAAGAGGAAAAGGGGAAAGAGAGACATAAATGAAGGAGAAGGGAGGTGGAGAAGGAAAGGGAGAAGGGAAGTAAAACTGCCAAAAAATCCCAGACGCAACGCCCATAAAAAGCCCCATCAAAATACCCAATCAAAACACCCAGTCAGGACACCCCATCAAGACACCCCATCCCGCACCCCATTTCACCCCCCCTCAGTCACATCTGCGCATCCACCATGTACGGGGCCTCCACCCAAAGAGCCCTGCCCTCCACCTCGACGTCGTCCCTCTCCCGGTCCACCAAATCCACATTCATCCCTCCCATGGAAGACGCCGCCCGAAGCAGAATGACACGAGCTTGCGCCCGTTGTAATGCCACCCCGATGAGCGCCTTCAGAGACCCCAAAAGATAAGCTGAAAACGAAGTGTCGTCCTCCCGACAAGCCCCCCGTGACACAGCTAGCCCCACGTGCGCGTCCCCCTGCTGTCGAATCCACCGCCAGAAACGACCGCCGAGACACCCCCACGTCTCTAGTATCAAAGGGGTGAACTGCACGCCCCTGTTGCGTGCAAGCAAAGGCGCGTAATCACTTGTTTTGCGACGCTCCCACTCCTTTGCCGCCACACCTATAGAACGCCCACACTGCCCTAGCAGAGATGGAGATAGCGATAGCGGGTCCGCGACACTGATCTCTAGAGCGTGAGCCTCCCCGGCCATTGGTCGTCGCACCGCTACGTCAACCCGCTTCCCCGGCAGCACCACACTATCCTCCATCGTCACCACCCCCCCTGGCGCCTTAGAGATCCTCGCCACCGCAAAGTTCACCTCATCATGCACCCAAGATGGATCGTGCTGGTGCTTGCATCTCAGGGCATGATGCGGGTCTGCTGTGTCGACATACGCTGTTCCACAAACGCACCTCCCCGCCACCTGCAGCTGCTGAATTGGGAGCCCAAGCCGTATAGCAGCAGCAATGCCCCACTCAGCCGCAGTGAATGTGAGATCTGAGTGAGCCGGGACCGCCGAAACCCATGCACCAGCCCCCGGGCCCTGAAGGGATGTGAAACGGGCTAGGATGGCATCGTCACGAGCTGAGCAGCGCAGTGCCTGGAGCTCCTCTACAGCCAACTGCCGCTGCCGCGCCTGGAAAAGCCGAAGAGGAGGGGCCGCTACACACAGAGGTAAGCCCGGCATCTCCTGGCGTATAGTCGCAGGCAGCTAGCTGCTCAATAGCCTTGGCAAACCACGGGTCAAGAAACTCCGCCCCTGCCGAAGTGGTGAGGTACTCGGCAAACATCGCCTCCTCGCCTGCCACCCCCAACTATGCAATATCCCGCGCGGCCTGCGCCCACCCACAAACATAGGACAGTGGACTCAAAGAGGCAGCCGCCCGGATCCCAAACCCCCCGAGTCGCACAGGGAGATGCACCTGCATGCGTGTGCACCTAGACTGGTCGGGGTCCTGCTCCCAAGTGCCAGGTGGGAAAAGCTGCTCAAAGCAATCTTCCAGACAGCTATCCCAATCCCTAAAGGCATCCACCACCTCCGGACGCGGCGGCATAGTCCGGGCCAGGTACATCGGCCGTGCTGAAACTGCAATGGCGAGGAGATGTGAAGCAATCTGGGGGTGGTCGAGCAGGGGGAGCCATGGCAATGGCGCCTGCAACTGTCGAAGCCGCTCCCGTAAGCGGACCACCTCCCAATCCTCCTCCCCAATAGGCACGCCCACCACAGTGAGACCCTCCTCCACCCGCTGCATCCCTAATGGCAGTGCCCGCTCCACATCCCCGCCTTCGCGCTCCCAAAACCGGCACTTGTGCGCCTGCACCTCCAGCCCCACCCACTCCAACCGCTCCCGCAGCACCCCAAAAGCCTCTAGAACCCTAGCCGCTGGTCCCAAGATATAGGTATCGTCTGCATAACTCAGGAGAAGTAGGTCCCTGAACTCTCTGGTCACCGACTCCATCACCTGCTGCTGCGTAAATGCGAAAAGAAAAGGGCCGAGCGGGTCCCCTTGCCGCGATCCTCGTGCTGACTCAAGGCTTTGTATGAAAGGGCCCACTCGGAGGTACAGGTCGCTAGGTGTCCCGTAGAAAACACGCAAGAATGGGATCAACCCTGAGAAAGGCGAATCCCGCAGCCCCTCAAACATCGCATGACGGTGAAACGAATTGAAGGCGTTCGCGACGTCTATCTGCAGCGCACACCAGTCGGGGTGAGTGGCCAGCGCTGACCGGAAAGAATGAGTAAGAATCTCCACCCCGGCCCTGGTGCCCGCTCCCAGCTGGTTGCACGGCAGAAAGTAGGAAGCCATCGCAGGGCGGAGCGAGATGCAGAGAGCTCGAGCGAGGATACGCGGAAGCACCTCCCCAATCGCCACCGGCCGGACGTCGTCGTTAGGCTTGGAAAGCCCAACTAGGTTGGATGCGGTGAGCCAAGGCCGAGCCCGCTCGGGGACCTGTCCCGCCACCCATTGGTTGAACACTTCCAACAGGTGGGTAAGGCAGGAAGGTTCAGAGAGGAAGGTGTCGCGCAGATGCTCTGTGACCCACCCTGATGGCCCTGCTGCTGAAGCGCGGGCGGCTGTATGGATTGCTCTGGCCAGGATGTCGGTCGTGAGTGGAGGCCGCTGAGGAGCATCGACGATGAAATCATGGACCCAATGTAGTACCTCGCAAGTGCTAGCAGGGTGCTTCTCTCGCAGCGACTGCACCATGGCCTCAGACGGTCGAGCCAACTCTCCTGCTGTAAGGCAAGCCAATCCATGGCTCCACTCTCCCACTTTACACCGAGATCGGCACCATGACAGGCGGATGGCATCCGGGTCCTGGTCAGAGCAAGTGTAGGCAAGTGGGCGAACTGCTGGCCGTGCCGCCACCATGGCAGAGTCGAACAGCTCCCGCCACCTCCCCTCCCAGAACGCCCCCAGCCGCTCTGTGATCAGCGCCTTCTGACCTATGCCTGGCTTGGGAGGCATGGCTAGGATGAGGCGCGGAAACGCCAAGAGTAGGAGGGTAGCGGCTTCATCCCCCAGTCGGCTCTTCAAACGCTTTAAGACGCAACAGAGCGCATCTAAGACCCCCGACCGGACCCGCTGTGGGATCCGGCGCACTGTCCTCCCTCCAACCGCCTCCACACTTAAAAATGCTTCCCACTCCCATGACGTAGCCCCGGCCCACGCCTCGTCCCCAAATTCCCGCGGCGTCGGTCGCTCCTGCGTGTCGGTCTCCACTAGAGACGGGATCGAGCCAAGTGCCTGCGCACGCCTCTCCGCCTCAGCCGCCCGGCATACCCTCATGTGGTTCGCAGCAGCCCCTCGCGTAGCGAACGTGTGAAAACACGTGTCACACGGAAAACGGGGGCATGGGGAAGGCGGCCTGGGAGGTTCTCCGTCCACCTCTGACTCCTCCGCAGTCACCATGGGGGTATCTAACTCCAAAATTCGGCTCCACTCCTCCAACTGCTGCTCCTGGTCGGCCATCGACTGCCCCCCTGGCTGCTGCGCTCCCTGGGGTGTTCCAGTCACCCCCGGCTGCCCCCCTGGCTGCTGCGCTCCCTGGGGTGTTCCGGTCACCCCTGGCTGCCCCCCTGGCTGCTGCTCTCCCTGAGGTGCTCCGGTCACTCCCGGCTGCCCCCCTGACTGCTGCGTTCCCTGGGGTGCTCCGGTCACCCCCGGCTACCCCCTTGGCTGCTGCTCTCCCTGGGGTGCTCCGGTCACCCCCGGCTGCCCCCCTGGCTGCTGCTCTCCCTGGGGTGCTCAGGTCACCCCCGGCTGCCCCCCTGGCTGCTGCTCTCCCTGGGGTGCTCCGGTCACTCCCGGCTGCCCCCCTGGCCGCTGCATTCCCTGGGGTGCTCCGGTCACCCCTGGCTGTCCCCCTGGCTGCTGCGCTCCCTGGGGTGCTCCGTTCGCCCCCGGCTGCCCCCCTGGCTGCTGCTCTCTCTGGGGTGCTCCGGTCACCCCCGGCTGCGCCCCTGGCTGCTGCGCTCCCTGGGGTGCTCGGGTCACCCCCGGCTGCCCCCCTGGCTGCTGCGCTCCCTGGGGTGCTTCGGTCACCCCCGGCTGTCCCCCTGGTTGCTCTGCTCCCTGGGGTGCTCGGGTCACCCCCGGCTGCCCCCCTGGCTGCTGCTCTCCCTGGGGTGCTCCGGTCACCCTCGGCTGCCCCCCTGGCTGCTGCTCTCTCTGGGGTGCTCCGGTCACCCCCGGCTGCCCCCCTGGCTGCTGCTCTCTCTGGGATGCTCCGGTCACCCCCGGCTGCCCCCCTGGCTGCTGCTCTCCCTGAGCTGCTCCGGTCACCCCCGGCTGGCCCCCAGCCCTCTGCCCTCCCTGTCGTCGCCCCCTTCGGTGCCGTGCCCGCGGCCTTTCCGCTTGGCCTGTGCCGCCCGGGCTAGTGACTACTTTCAGACCTTCTCCCCGACCACCGAAGATGACCTGCTGATCCTGCGCCTGCAACTCCTGCGACTCACTCATCGGCAACCCCTGTTGTACGCTTCCAGGCAAGGGCTGGTTCCCCTCATGACACCCTTGCTGCCGCCCTGCCTGCAACTGGGGCTGATTCCCTGTTTGACTCCCCTCCTGCACGCCTACTGGCAGCTCCCCTCGCGCCTCCTCTTGTGGCTCCTCCATCCCCATCTCCATCTCCTGCGGCTCCTGCTGCCCCCCAGCCTGCAGCTCCTGCTGCTCCCCGCCCCCCTGCTCCACCTCCATCTCCGCCTCCAACGCCTGCTGGCCTCTGGCCAGCTCCTGCTGCCCCCCAGCCTGCAGCCCCTGCTGGGCCCCAGCTTGCAGCTTCTGCTGCCCCCCAGCCTGCAGCTCCTGCTGCTCCCCGCCCCCCTGCTCCACCTCCATCTCTGCCTCCAACGCCTGCTGGCCTCCGGCCCGCTCCTGCTGCCCTCCAGCCAGCTCCTGCTGCCCCCCAGCCTGCAGCCCCTGCTGGGCCCCAGCCTTCAGCTTCTGCTGCCCCCCAGCCTCCCACGCCTGCTGCCCTCCGCTCTGCAGCAGCTGCTGCATTCCGCTCCACAGCTGCTGCTGCCCTCTGCTCCGCATCTGCTGCTGCCCTCCACTCTGCAGCTGCTGCTGCCCTCCGCTCTGCAGCTGCTGCTGCCCTCCGCTCTGCAGCTGCTGCTGCCCTCCGCTCTGCAGCTGCTGCTGCCCTCCGATCCACAGCTGCTGCTGCCCTCCGCTCTGCAGCTGCTGCTGCCCTCCGATCCACAGCTGCTGCTGCCCTCTGCTCTGCAGCTGCTGCTGCCCTCCGATCCACAGCTGCTGCTGCCCTCCGCTCTGCAGCTGCTGCTGCCCTCCGATCCACAGCTGCTGCTGCCCTCCGCTCTGCAGCTCCTGCTGCCCTCCGCTCCGCAGCTGCTGCTGCCCCGTCCCCACCGGCGGCTGCCGGGCCCTCTCCCGGGCCCCCTGCGGCCCGCCCACCTGCAGGTCCCACCGGCCCCCCACTAGCGGCTCCTGCTGCCTGTCTTTCCCCACCGTCCTCCAGAGCCTCCGCTCCTGCCGCCGTGCAAGACGTGGCACGACCAGGGAGATTGCGGCGTCGGCCGAGCCAGCACTGTGCAGCATTACCCTCTCAGATAGGCCGCTTCTGCGGGTGTCATGCTGTTGTTGCAAGCGCCTACAGTGCTCTTCCCAAGCTGCCCTCGCTACCTCCGATGCCTCCCTTGGAGTTACCGCCACCTCGACGACCGCACCCTTGTCACTTATCACTCCCCCCCTTCTCTTCGTTGATGACTGCAGGTTCGGGGTCGTCGCTCTGGTCAGCCCGGGTGTTGGGAAGGTCTTCAAGGGATTGCCCACTTGTCATTGCTGAAATCGGACGGCCCACTTCATAACACTGTCTCTTGGATGATTTGCCAAAGAGGCATAAAAGGTCTTCGTGGTGGAGGCGACGGATGCGTGGGCTCTGGAGCGCAGACTCAGCCCCCCCCCCCCCCCGTCTTTTGTGACCAGCCAATAGGTGGAGCGACCCACCAGCTGCTACTGTGCTTGCCCCCCCTTCGCCCCTGAAGGCCCCCGTCATGTCGCTGTCCAGACCGACCCACACACAGGCCCCGGGATCCCCGGGGTCCGGGTCGTCTGCCATGGCTCCAAGCTCTGGCCAAGGCTTGTTCGCTTACTCTATTGTCGATGCTATGGTGCGGATTTCGCTGCTATGGCACGGGTTTCGCTGCTATGGCGCGGATTTCGATGCTATGGCGAGGATTTCGTTGCTAAGGCGCGGTTTTCGCTGCTATGGCGCGGATTCCGCTGCTATGGCGCGGCTTTCGCTGCTTTGGCGCGGATCTCGCTGCCGTGGCGCAGATTTCGCTGCTGTGGCGCGGATGTCGCTGCTGTGGCGCGGTTTCCGCTGCCAGTACGTGAAAAGAGCCTGCGCGAATTTTGCTGCCTAGCTGCGCTCCGGGCGGCCTATTCACCGGCTTTGAGGCTAGAACACGGGCTGGTCGGCTAGATCGCTGCTAAGCGGCTAAATCGCGGACCTGGAGGCTAAATCGTGGGCTGGGAGGCTAAATCGCGGGCTGGGCGGCAGAATCGCGGACTAGGCGGCTAGATCACCGGCTCGGCTGCTAGATCGCGGGCTGCGCGGCTGGATCACGGGCCTGGGAGCTAGATCGCGGGCTGGGCGGCGAGATTGCGGGCTGGGCGGCTAGATCCCGAGCTGGGCGGCGAAATCGTGGGCTGGGCGATGAAATCGCGGACTAGGCGGTTAGATCCCGAGCTGGGCGGCGAAATCGTGGGCTGGGCGGCGAAATCGCGGACTAGTCCAAGCGGACTAATCGCTACGAGCGCCACTCCGATCGAGCTGTTGGGAATGCGTTGTGAGTCAGGCTCGGCTGAACGGTCGGGCCTGAAGCGGCAGGACTTGGGCTCTAGCGATCTGAGTGCGGCTGAGGACAAGGGGGGTTGATGCGAACGCGAGACTCGACATGGGCCGGTGGCATCTTACCCTTCAAAAGCATGGTAGATCCGTGCGCGATCTGCCTGGACGCTCAGGAAATCTCGAAGCAGATCAGCGGCGGACATGGCGAGAGCGCTCGGCGGAGAGAATAGATTGTGGTGGCGCTCACTCTCGCGAAACTGCGCAAGCCCGTCTAGGTGGTCAAGGGAGGTATACCACCTAACGAAAATATATGATGATACTACACTACTAGCTATGCATTTAATTATATAAGAATTTCATCTTCTGACATCCAACAAGATTTCCATCGTATAAACAACACAAACGGGCAACATCAGCCTACATACTCTACAATTCAGTTCCTAACATACACATCATCCAATCAATACATGCATAACCTCCTATTACCGTAACCCACTCCACTTTGACGGTGAGGTATTCACGGTACCTGCCCCATCACTTCCCACCTGCTTCCTTTCACATGCCCTCGTCTCAGTCAGTCATCAGTAAAATACTCTGGTTTCTATGTTGTGCCATTCGCTCCTTACCGTACCACCGTCACATCAACCCCTCAGTTCCCTGCTGCACCCCCCCTTGCCTGCCACCACCAGTGCAGGCAGCACACAGGTCAGTCAGTGCCAGAGCTTTCAGCCGCCTTTCACTCACCTCATCTTCCCTCTCCCTCTGCTCCCTAGCAGTACCCAGCCTGACTGCCTTTATCAAGGGCAGACAAAATTCAGGAAAAAACTTGCCCCACCTTAGCTACAACCATCCATCCCTCTCCGTCTTCCTTCCAGCTAAGCCCCCTCTGACGTTTCATCAAAGCACTATCTACCGAAGCCCTTGTATTCCCCAAAGCCCTTGCACCCATGCGGCTCTCCTCCCCTTAGCAGCAGCCGGGCTGGAGACACCCCGCAGGCAGGGGCAGGCGCAGGTTGCCGGAGGTGCGGAAGGTGCGTGGAACCATCCTGTCAACGTAAATTAGCCCTGCCAGGTGGTCGCACTCATGCTGGTGACGGTGCAGCGCAGGAGCAACAGGTATTGGGGGGTGGGGGACATGTTGGGGGGATGGGTGGGTTGGGACGTGAGGGCAGAAATTCAATGTGGGCAGAAATTGTTGACCAAGTGACTTTCATGGTGGGAAGAGATAGGGGAAAAGAGTAGAGTCAGTGAACGGGCTTCCTCACGGTGTAAGGAAGCTGCAGAGAGAGGGGGTGTGAAGTGAGAGCACGAGAGTGAAAACCTCCGAAACAAAGTCCTCCACACAGTGCTTTGCTGAAATAGCCAGCAATAGCCTATCCAACTTGTTCAGATTTCCATCGCATTGCTGCCTTTACCAGAGCAGAAGCCACCGCAGTGCTCTCACCTGCAGGATCCGGGCCTCCTCTCACCTGCAGGATCCGGGCCTCCTCTCACCTGCAGGATCCGGGCCTCCTCTCACCTGCAGGATCCGGGCCTCCTCTCACCTGCAGGATCCGGGCCTCCTCTCACCTGCAGGATCCGGGCCTCCTCTCACCTGCAGGATCCGGGCCTCCTCTCACCTGCAGGATCCGGGCCTCCTCTCACCTGCAGGATCCGGGCCTCCTCTCACCTGCAGGATCCGGGCCTCCTCTCACCTGCAGGATCCGGGCCTCCTCTCACCTGCAGGATCCGGGCCTCCTCTCACCTGCAGGATCCGGGCCTCCTCTCACCTGCAGGATCCGGGCCTCCTCTCACCTGCAGGATCCGGGCCTCCTCTCACCTGCAGGATCCGGGCCTGCCAGCCCGTCGCATGCACCGTGATGGGCTTGCCATCCCGTGCCAGCCCTGACACCTCAACCTCTCTGTACCGCTCCACCATGCCCCGGTACCCATTCACACTGCAATGCACACAGACGGGTAAAGGCACGCGCAGAGGAAGGAAGACGTGGAGAGACAGGTGAGACTTGACTTCGTGATGGCATTGAGGCGCCTCTGTCACACCGCAGCAGCAGCGGAGCGGGGGAGGTGGGGGGACTGAGGGGTGTGTTTGTGAAAAGAAGTAGTGGAGAGGCTGGTGAGTGCGTTGTGAGGCAAGTGAGAGATGCCGGACTCCGTACGAGTTCACAACGCAGCAACAACGGAGGTGAGCGGGCCAAGGGAGGCATTCAATGGACCACCATTGTGACACATCATGTGACAAGAGGAAATGTGACAGGAGAAATTGGTGGGAGTGGTGTGAAGGACGGGCAGCAGTGGGTGGAAAAGAGAGCAAAGGGACGGCACTTGGGTCAAGGGTTGGGCATGCATGAAGGTCATCGTGAAGAGGGAATCGTGAGGGCGGAGGAGAGAAAGGCGCAATGGCAGAGAGTGGAGAGCGAGATGGAGAGACGACTGGCGATTGGCAAGAAGGCGAAAGGATGACGGTGGAAGCAGTGCGAGTGGACAATGCAAGTGAGAATTGTCGGTGCTGTGTGGGGTGAGGGAAAGGGAGGGAGGGAGAGCAGGAGGGATGAGGGATTGGGGGAGGGAGGGAGGGAGGGATTGAGGGAGGGAGGGAGTGATGGAGGCAGGGAGGGAGGGCGGGAGGGAGGGAGGGAAGGAGGGAGGGAAGGAGGGGGGGATTGAGGGAGGGGGGGAGGGAAGGAGGGACGGAGGGAGGGAGGGGGGGATGGAGGGAGGGAGGGAGGGAGGGAGGGAGGGAGGGAGGGAGGGAGGGAGGGAGGGAGGGAGGGAGGGAGGGAGGGAGGGAGGGAGAGCGGGAGGGATGAGGGATTGAGGGAGGGAGGGAGGGAGGGATTGAGGGAGGGAGGGAGTGATGGAGGCAGGGAGGGAGGGCGGGAGGGAGGGAGGGAAGGAGGGAGGGAAGGAGGGGGGGATTGAGGGAGGGGGGGAGGGAAGGAGGGGGGGATTGAGGGAGGGGGGGAGGGAAGGAGGGGGGGATTGAGGGAGGGGGGGAGGGAAGGAAGGACGGAGGGAGGGAGGGGGGGGATGGAGGGAGGGAGGGAGGGAGGGAGGGAGGGAGGGAGGGAGGGAGGGAGGGAGGGAGGGAGGAAGGGAGGGAGGGAGGGAGGGAGGGAGGGAGGGAGGGGGGAGGGAGCATTAGGGCACCTGAGGCAGCCTTCAAAGAAGCGGGCCTTGGTGTCGCCCACTGGCTTGATCACGGGGTTGATTATCACCTGCATGCATTGGCGCGCAGTGCAGCAACAAGCGGGGGACAGATGGAGGTGAGAGTAATGAAACGGTGGGAAGAAGAAAAGTGAACGCACAGTGGTGTCGAGGGCTGCAATGCAGCCAGACACAGGCAGGCAGACAGACTTGCTCAAGGCAAGGAGCGGCAGACATGTGAGGGGAGTGGAGTGGCCAGCACAGAGTGGGCCATTCGTTCATTCTACCTTAATCCAATTCCCTCTCGTTGATTTCCTTGAAAGTGGAGCATCAAATATTTCATGCCAAGGCAGTCGGTCGTTCGTCAATTCAATCCCCCATTCTGTTTAATCACTGACTCGACAACCACTGACTCGCTCATGCAGTCAACCATGCAAGCACGGAATCCGCACGCACCAGCAGGTTGAAGGGTTGGCGCTCCTGCAGCTTCACCTCGTCGGGGTCGCACGCCTTCATCAGCTCCACCGTGTCCTCCAGCACGATGATCTGCTCGCACACGCACTCACTCACACGCGAGTGCCAGTGAGCGCACAGGGGGACAGGCGGGGCGCACAGGGAGGCGGTAAGAAGTGCCATGGGTGGTGGGGGTAAAGCAAGGCTTTCAATCTTCCCTAGGCCCTTCCTCCCATCCCTGTCTGTTCATTTCCTTGATTCTTCATTATGAATGGTGAAATCCACCAGCATAACTGACGGCCGTGCTTGCAGTGCCCGTACATGCAGTGCCCGTACATGCAGTGCCCGTACATGCAGTGCCCGTACATGCAGTGCCCGTACATGCAGTGCCCGTACATGCAGTGCCCGTACATGCAGTGCCCGTACATGCAGTGCCCGTACATGCAGTGCCCGTACATGCAGTGCCCGTACCTGCAGTGCCCGTACCTGCAGTGCCCGTACCTGCAGTGCCCGTACCTGCAGTGCCCGTACCTGCAGTGCCCGTACCTGCAGAGGGTGGCCGATTTGGTTGGCTGCGAGGCCGACACCTGGCGCTGCGCGCATGACTGCCACCATGTCGTTGATGATCTTCTCTATCTCTGGACTGCCAATGTCCTGATGCCACGTGTCACGGAGGTGGATTTTGTAACCGGGTGGAGAGAAGGAGAACACGGGAAAGAGCAGAAAAGGCACGTGCCATTCATATTAAGCACGTGCTTTCCCAGGGTTGCCGTTTATATGGGGAAACTGATCCGCATTGTAACACAGCCACGAAGACGACGCAAACCTACCAGGAGCAGAGGCAGTGGGCACCTGAGTCTCATGAGTTCACGGCCACTCACGCCCCACGCACTCTCCCGCATCACTCACTCCCTACGCACTAATCCACAAGGGCACTCCGCGCCACTCACCGCCATCACTCACGGCGAGCGGCACTCACGGTGGCGGGCACGGGGCGCGCGGGCTCGTGCAGCACGGGGTCGCCCGCCTCCACCACGTCGGGCAGCGCCGGCTTGCCGAAGTTGAAGAACGCGCGCGCCGCCACGCCTTGGGAGTCTCCCAGCGACTCGCCACGCGACGGCGGCGTGCCGGCTAGGCGCGAGGTGGGCGTGGAGGAGAACTGCGACACGTCGCGCAGGTGCGGCGCGAAGTCCATCTTCTCCGTCGACGACACCCGCACCATGCGCGCCGCTCCGCTCGCTGGCGGGCAGCTGATTGGCTGCGATGCTGTCGCCATGACGACGCGATGTGGAAAGAGACTCGTTCGGCCTCGTACCAGCTGCTGTAAAGGAGATGCTGAGAGGCAATTTGATGCTAGGGAACGAGAGCACGCGTTCATTTCAAGAAGCCGAACAACACAAACTAGAATGTGTAGCGTGGCGGCTCACTGAATTGACTGGCAGGAATGTGTTGAGCAAGCTGAAGCCACAGCAGGCAAATAGGAGACAAACAAACTTGCGATGGTCTCATGAGAGGAATCTAGATTCTAGATGCACCACCCAAAGCCACGCTGTGGTTGGAAATCCGTGATTCGTGAATTGCCCTACCTTGATCCGTTTGCTGCCTCACACGCTATGCCATCCGAGCTGGAGTGGGGACCACTATCGAAGGAAGGCTCGATTCACTGATGACGTGGTGCGGGAATCTTTCCCCTTTCCTCCAAGCCTCCGACCATGTGCGAGACGCATCCAATTGGAGAGCACAATGTGGATCGCACTCCTGCTTGCGTTGATGATTTGGCAGGTTTGTCCTTGTGCAGCGGAACTGTCACATGTCAAATTCGTTCGTTCACAACTTAGTAAGGTGCGGTCTGGTGGGCAATGGTGAACACCAGTGGGCAAAGATCAAAGGGTTATTATACGAATGGTCACAATAGAGAGCGTGCTATCACAAATGGTCATAAAGGTAATCACGAACGGTCATTGAAAATGGTGAATCTATCACAGATGGTAAAAGACTATCACAGATGGTCATTCGTCATCCCACAATGTTATCACGAATGGTGACTAAAATAAACGCCCGCCCGAAAGTTGAAATCCTTCTCCATGCGATGTCACGTTATTGCGATTTAGGGACTATTAGCGCGTTAGGACGTGGGCCCAATCGAGTTGGATCATCTCGATGCAGGAACAATGCATAATGACCCTGGAATATCATTTTTAGATGGGTGAAACTCCAAATTTTTTATTTTTCTAAACATAAAATAAATATAAAACCCATTCAGATTGGATAATTTTCGGGAGGCATCAACCCTAAAAACCTTGTCGCATGGTATTTAGGGTTGATGCTTCCCGAAAGGGCATGCCATCCTATAGGGTTTATTTATTTTCCAATAGCGCGCCTTGTATAGTGACCATTCGTATAATAACCCAAGATCGAATTGGGGCCGAGAAATAGTAGAAGGGTGTGAGAAGAAACAAGGAATGAATGAACTATGAATGAATTGAGTACAAGTAATGACCCTAATTGGGTTGTACCCCTTATGGGCTACCCCACTATAGCCTACACAATGTGCATGAGCTATATGTTCTGACACACCCCCATAGGCAAAGTGGGGGAGAACAAGGGGTCACAAGACCAGTCAAGTAAAGCAAAGCAAAGCAAGCTCAGGGTGGATCACAAAGTCACCACACATTCCGAGCACAAGTTCAAGGCCACAAGGCCAGTTCACATGCAGGAGTACATATATATAAAAAGGCTAGACAAGCAAGAGCAGGTATATATATATGTAACAGTACAAGCACGGTCAAGAGGTGAGCAAGTGAGGCAAGGTAGGCACAAGGCCCAGCTGAGTACAGAAGCGCTGATGGTCACAAGGCGCAAGCGCCTTGGTGAAGATATCAGCAGTGTTGGCCTCAGAGGCCACGTACGCAAGACGCAGCTGACCACGCTGCTGCAGCTCACGAGCAAGAAAGTAGCGGAGAGCAATGTGCTTCGTTCTGTGCTCCAGTCGCTGCTCCCGACACAAGGCCAGCATGGCCTTGTTGTCTACGTACAGCACTGGAGGAGAACGAGGCGGCTCTCCGAGGTCAGTCAGCAGGTAGGTGAGCCAGCAAAGCTCCTGTGCAGCCATGGCTCCTGCGTAGATCTCAGCCTCACAACTGGAGCCGAGAACAGAAGACGAGCGAGTAGCCCGCCACGAAACAGAGCCGGAACCAAGGCTGAAGGTGTAACCCTGTGACGACCGCTGCGTAGCCTGTTCGTCAGCCCAAGAAGCGTCTGCGTGCCCAGTAAGGACCACTGGACTCTGTCCTCCAAGCACAAGCCCCATGCCCGACGTACTGCACAAGTAGCGCAACACCCTCTTCGCTGCAGCCATGTGCTCCGGTCTGTGTCTCCCAGGAGCAACATAGCGTGCGAGAATGCTAAGAGGGTATGCAAGGTCAGGTCGTGTGCAGGTCATCAGGTACATGAGGCAGCCAACAAGCTTTGGGTACGGGCCACTCGACTCTACGGACTCATCCGAAGGCAGAGCTGAGAGCGAGTGGCGAGTAGGCAGAGGAGTGGCCTGAGGCGAGGAGTACGTGAAGCCGAAGCGCTGAAGGACCTGCTGCACCATGTGTGACTGAGTCAGGGTAATGGTGCGGCGTGCTCTGTTCCGAGTGATCTGCAAGCCAAGGTAGCTGCGCAGTTCACCCAGGTCAGTGCACGTGTGTCTCTTCTGCAGCTCGGACTTCACGTGGGCGAGTCCAGCAGTGTCAGCTGTGGCAAAGACCAAGTCGTCGACGTACACGAGGATGTAGAACGGCGGCAAAGAAGTGTCGGTGCGCAGAAACAACGACGGGTCGGCAGTAGAGGGAGCAAACCCAAGAGCCGCAAGTGTAGTCCTCAGTGTGTCGTGCCACTCACGCGGTGCCTGGCGGAGACCGTAGACTGGCCGCCGTAGGCTCCACTGGGTGCCAGGAGGAAAAGACCCAGTGAAACCAGGTGGGCGACGCAGCCAGATCTCCTCGTGCAGGCTGCCCTGCAAGAAAGCAGTGCTGAAGTCAAGAGAGTGTAGCTCGTAGTCACGGTGAGCAGCTACGTGCAGCAGTACCCGAAGAGTGGTCATCTTCGGGGTGGGAGAGAAGGTCTGAAAGTAGTCAACTCCCTGCCGCTGATTGAAGCCACGAGCCACGTAACGCGCCTTGAAGACAGGCGGAGAACCCGGCGGCCGCTTCACCCTGAAAATCCACATGCCACTGACGATGTTCGCCCCAGGAGGGGGAACAGCGTCAACGTAGGTGCCTGTGGACTTCCAGGAAGCCATCTCTGCGTCCATAGCTGCCTGCCACTGAGAGGAGTAGGGACCCTCTATCGCCTCCGCGTAAGAGCGCGGAGTCGGGATGTCAAGTGCATCCGGGTCTCCCTCAGGGGTAAGCAGTACGGACACGAGATGAGGTGAAGCAGCGGCCAAGCACTGGAACTCCTCCTGCCTGTCATCAAGGACGTCCGTGCCAAGGGCACACTCACCCCCGACGGACGGAGGACAGGCAGACTCAGACTCAGCAACAAGACTGGCGACGTAGTCTAGGCGACAGCGAGCAGCAAAGTCGACGAGCTCAGCAACTAGGGCAGACGCAGCAGTGGACTCAAAGGAAGGGTCAGTGACAACAGTAGCAAGGAGACGCGTGACAGTAGGACTGGCAGCACGAAGAGAGTCCGACTCCGGGTCGGCAAGAGCAGGAAGAGAAGACTCAGGAGGAGAAGGCAAAGGGGCACGCAGAGGAGCAGTGGACGGACGCAGAGACATCCGGTGCGTGCCAGGGACAGGAGGAGGACGCTGACGCGAACCGCGACCACTAGTGCGAGCAGCACGGACAGGCGACGCAGGGCGAGACGCAGGCTCACGACGCTCAGCAAGACCTCCAGTAGGACCAGTGTAGGGAGACGGAGCAGGCAGTGGGGAGGCCGGCTGTAACTGTAACTGCGACGGGACAGGCTGTGGACACTCTAAGGGAGGAGGAGGACCAGTAGAAGACGGGAGACCAAGAACCTACTGAAGGAGCGGAACGAAGTACGGCCGAGGCCGCGCGGCGACTCCAGACACAGCAGGGACAGCACCAGCACCCCCTGTGGCAGCACCAGCACCAGTAGCAGCTCCAGCTCCAGTACTCCCAGCAGCACCAGCAGTACCCCCAGCAGGACCGCCTCCAGGACCGACAGCAGTAGCCTCCGCACCAACACCCGCAGCAGCTCCAGCTCCAGAAGTACCCGCAGGTCCAGCAGCTCCAGTACGCCCGCCTCCAGCGCCGAGCAAACCACTCACGCAGCTCCTGTGGAGAGAGTGGCTCCCGGCGAGAAGAAGCACCCGGAGAACCGCCAGGCACAGCACCAGTAGGCCCAGCTCCCTCAGGCTCCGCACCCCCAGGCTCAGCACCTCCAGGCGTAGCACCCCCAGGCTCAGCACCCCCAGACGCAGCACCCCCAGGCGTAGCACCCCTAGACTCAGCACCCCCAGGCTCAGCACCCCCAGTCGTAGTACCCTCAGGCTCAGCACCCCCAGGCGTAGCACCCACACGCTCAGCACCCCCAGAGTCAGCACTCCCAGGCTCAGCACCCTCAGCAGCACCAGAGTCACCAGCGACCTCGACAGGCTCAACAGCGTCTACCTGGGACACACCTGAAGGGGCAGGACCCTGAGGGGGGAGGGGGTCTACCGGGGGGGGACCTGGTACCAGGAAGAGCGGTGGCGGGGGGAGGGACGGAGTGCGGTAGGGGAAGAGGCGGTAGTAGGGAACCGACTCGTCGAACGTGACGTCCTGGGAGGACAGAACACGGCGAGAGGTGGGGTGGTAGAACTGCCACCCTGGGGCGTCAGGGGGGAAACCCAGGAAGACGCAAGGGGCAGCACGAGGGGACAGCTTGTCCGCAGACAAGTCGCGGACAAACGCCCGAGATCCCCAGACACGGAACGCAGACGCATCGCCAACCTTCCCCGTCCACAGCAAAGCTGGGGAGGTCTCCGGCATGGAGACCCTGGGGTGAAGGTTGATCTGATGCGCCGCGTACCGAACCGCAAACGGCCACAGAAAATGGGGGGCAGCCGCATGCATCATAGACGTACGGGCGACGTCCATGACCATGCCAATGCGGCGCTCAGCAATCCCATTTCGCTGTGGAGAGTCCGGAAGCGTGAAGGTCTGGCGGATGCCTTGTGCACGACAGTAGGCTCGCAGAAGGCCAGAGGAGAACTCTCCACCTCTGTCAGAGTGTAGACGCAGAACAGGAAAGTCCGAGCCGAAGCTCTGCCTGAGC